CACAACAGCTTAACGTCTAACTCTCTTGAAAAATGTTCCAAGATGTTTTTCCTTTCTCTGTCTGCTTAAGTCTTTTACCATTCTACGTGAAACTTGAACAATTTAAACGTCAACAAATGTCTAAGATGAACGACCGAGTACCTAAGGAGAGATTGGACTAGTAAGTTAAATGACGTTTTCCGCAAAATCTCCCCTTATGACCCCACCTCAGAAGTTCAGGAATTAGAACTTAGGTCTTATTTATCATGCATGCAAAGTAAACTAAAAGTCTGTAAGACAGATTTTTCGCAAACTAAGAAAAAGTGAAATCAAAAATGGCTCAAAATCTGACTTACATTTTTTCTCTACGCGAGATTCACCCCTACAAATCAATTGTGAAAATTTCATCATGGGTTGTACGGTAGTTTTTAGAGCAATCCTCGACCAAAGGCTGGCTTTTATAACCTTGGACGGATATTAAATTGCGCATGCCCTTTTTTAAGTGCGCGCTCATGTGATGCCATGTATCGCTTGCAAGAAAGCAAGAGTAAATTAGAGCTCTTTTACCGGCTGCTTATCGACTTTTTTTGTCATATTTTATTGACCAATGTTTAAACACATGTTTGAAAGGAGCTTGAAACTATCACTATGTTTACCAAAGTGATTCAACGCCTTTCAAGTGCTGAAGTGGTTTTTGATTCTTCTTAGGGTTACTAACCTGTGTACAGCCGCCCCCTCCCCTCAAAAAATTCGGGGAGAAGAGGGTTACAACTAATACTGAAGTCTGGCAGACAATCGTAGCGCACGCCACTGAGTCTCGGTAAAACTGTAATAAGCACCTTAATTTACATCAGTCCTGACAGAAACGAAGTGTCTTTCCCTGTGCGAAGAGTAAGATCAACCACAAATTTCTCCATATTGTTTTGATATATTTCTATAAATCTTTAAAGGAGAAATATCCATTTAGTCAAACCTTTGCAACTGTGATGGTTACGTCATATGATCTCACAACTTGCCTTGTTGCATTTGTTATGTTGTGGTAGGGGAAAAAGAGTCTTTGATCACTAGTGAAGGTAAAACAAAAAGGTTTAAAGGGACAGACTTTGCATATGAGGAGATCAATTTGTTAAGCCTTGCTTTAAGAAATGTTACATTCCTAAACGACGTTATTATAGTTTAATCGTGATAGAATTTCCTCTCGTTAGATATCGTCTCGTGGCGCGCGAAGTCACGATGCACGCGTGTAACGCGAGTTCGCAGAGCTTCAATCAATCAATCAATCAAGGAATCTTTATTTTGCCCCAATGGGATTCTAAAATAAGTTTTAATTAAGAGGCCATTCTTGTGAGGCTCTCCTGAAGAATACAAACATAGCGACCTGTTCATCTTTTGTGCCAAAAGGAAACAAATGAGGTCTATTCAGAACGAAAGTAATTTTGAACTACAGATTTTAGGAAGCAGTAATGTATTTTGTGATCAACTTTAAGTGACATCTGATCAGGGAGCTTAAACGGATTGCCTCAGGGTCACGTTCTCAGGAATCAGTATCCAAGACAAAATGACAAAGGTTCTTAAAGCAACGTTCGATGATTGGTTTGAACAAGGGAAAATATTGGCATGATAAAAAGCCACGATTCCAAGAAGAGCTAAAAAAAGAAAGTCACAAGACTTCATTGTTTCGGGTTGAGTTCCGCGAAAACCTTACTTTACTCGCTTGTTTCTGAACACGACATGGATATCAAAACGTTGCTCCATAATCTCCGTGAAGAAGTGT